TATATATATTTGAATATTTGAATATTTTTTAAATTTATTATGTTCTTTTTCCTAAAAATAAAACACGATTTTATATATAAAAAATTTAAAAAATTAATTTTGAATCTAAATTTATTATTTAAACAATTCATATAATAATATTCAATTAATTTTTTTTAATTATTTTCATTACAGTTTTATTCATATATTTTATTTATATTTATTATTATAAATTTAAAAAAATTTAGACATTCCTTTTAATAATTTGAATGTATAGGAATTTTATAGTAACTTAGCGATGAGTCATAATACATATCAGTGCCAAAAGAAATATGGCAGTAGTATATGATTAATGCAGAGTGCTGTTAATTCTGCTTAAAGTATATGGTGTTTATTATATTTTTAAAAGTGTGATTATAATTTAAATTTGAATTAGATTTATTTACAAAATGAGTTTCTTTAGTAAAGTATTTGGTGGTAAAAAAGAACCGGCGCCTTTGTCAACAGCCGATGCAATACAAAAATTACGGGAAACGGAGGATATGTTGATAAAAAAACAAGATTTCCTTGAAAATAAAATAGAAATTGAAATTCAAACTGCTAAGAAACATGGAACAAAAAATAAAAGAGGTATCTATGACTAATTTTTTTTATTTAGCAATCATTTATATCAACAATCGACAATTTTCAATGATTAAAATAGTTTGTCATTATGACGTTTCTTTGTTCCGTATTCAATGTTCATTTATGCGTATTATATACTATAATTATTAATATTTTAAAATGTTTTAAAAAATACTTCATTTACAAATTTATTAAATTAAAAAATTTATATTGAATTATAAATTATAATATTATTATAAGTTGTTTATTCTGAGTGATTTTAACTTTAGTGATATATTAGAATGAATACAACAAAGAAACATGCTTTACAGCTGCAATTCAAGCCCTTAAAAGAAAGAAACGTTATGAAAAACAATTGCAACAAATTGATGGTACACTCACTACAATTGAAAGTCAAAGAGAAGCACTTGAATGTGCGAATACTAATACTGCTGTACTTACGACAATGAAAAATGCAGCAGATGCATTAAAATCTGTTCATCAACATATGTAAGAATTAATATTCAATCTTATAATAATGTTAATTAATTGATTAATTGATTAAAATTAAATAAATAATTTATTAAAATTTTCTTTATTAAAAATATTTATTAAAATTATTCTTTAGGGATGTTGATCAAGTACATGATATGATGGATGATATAGCTGAACAACAAGATGTAGCAAGAGAAATTTCTGATGCAATCTCTAATCCTGTAGCATTTGGACAAGATGTAGATGAAGAAGAATTAGAAAAAGAATTAGAAGAACTTGAACAAGAACAACTAGATAAAGAATTACTTGGTATTGAACCTACTGATGAATTACCAAATGTTCCAGCTACTGCTATTCCAACTGCCCCAACTAGGACTCGCACAAGTAAAAATTTCAATGTATATGTATATATATTATAATAATTTTTAAACTAAAATATTGTTTATATTTATAGAAGCTAAACCTGAAGAGGATGAAGATTTAAAAGAACTAGAAGCATGGGCATCATAAGATGGTATTAAAATATTTGTAAAAATAAATTTGTAAGAAACTAATAGTTAAAATTAAGTATCTACAATTGAAAATCAGAACAGTGTACGTCAATACATTTTTCGGATTCATACAATTATCCTAATATTAGTAACAGTATTTTTTATGCACTGTTAAAAATATTAATTAAAATAATAATTAAATTTTCATAATAAGTTTTTTTGTTTTTTAGATATAAAAATTTTCTTATAAGAAAGCTTAAAATGTTATAACAATATATTTTATTGTTGCAGTAAAAAATTAATTATATCAGATAAATTTATAATTTGCATATATAATTATAATTGCTATAGATTGTATACATGTAATTAAAAATATGTAATGAAAAATACAAACTTATTATAAATTTTATATACTGAAAATTAAGTTATAAGATATATAATTGCTTTTTAATATTTGAATATTATTTTAATGTATATATGTATAACATATTTTGAAATATGGCATTATTTAAATTGTATGGCTTTTTAAACTTGTATAAATGTATCTGTCATAAATAAATTCATTCAAATGTATACTGTAATATACTGTATAATGTAATCAAGTGAAACAAATATAGTTACATATTTTTAAATCAAAAAATCATTATAATTTTTTTGCAATATTTTAAAAACATTATAAAATAATAATTATAAAATTATAAATAACTATATTTTTTTTTATGATATTGAATTAATATATTAATAGCTTTCATAAATATAAATAAGAATTTAAATAAAATAATTTAAAGAATGACGGATGCATTAAAATGCAATATATATTTCATAATTTGAATAATTTTATAAATATAGATATAGTTATATTTTACTTTATAGATATACTTAAATTTATAAAAAAAACAGTCTTTGAAAACTTAAAAATTTATTTTCTTTTATTTTAATTCATAATTCAATGATTAAAATTTCAATTAAATAAAAAATTATTATCAAAGAATTTCATTCTCATATGCTATAATGGGTGTAGGAATATATTTTTTGTTTAATTTATTATTTAGCGTCGGTATGGGTAATGGATGAATGTGTGGTTTAACAGGAAATCTAGTTCCAGCAATATCAATTTCGTAACTTTTGGATTCCATTATAAAGTCTGTTATAACAATATTTGCATTAGTTTGTACATATCTTGATTTAAGAACATTGATAAAACCAAGACAGATATGTTTTTCAGTAGCAAAACCATATCTATAAAATTAGATTATTAATCAATTATTATTATTAATTAAAAAAAATATAATAATTACAAATATATATTTTATTTTTAATTATATATAATATTTACCCAGCTGATGTAACAGTTCCTACAAATTCATTATTTTGATAAATTGGTTTACCACCCCATGGCCATACATTCTTATTAATATTTAATTCATTAACAATAAATAATACTAATCGTTTTGATACACCTTGTTCTTTTTGATGTTGTAAAGAAAATTTGCCAGTAAAATAAATAAAATAAATAAAATCTTTCTGTTATAAATTGTTAATTAATGAAATATTTTGCCTTTTAATAATAAAAATATATAAATAAATTTTATGTATTTACATCTAATTTTACACTGTATCCATTTCCAGTTTCATATGGTGTAACAAAAGATGTCAATTCTTCAGCCCAAAATGGAATAAATCTTTCTATCCTCATAAAACATTGTGTGAGTACACCTACATCTCGTGCTCCATAATCTTTACCTACTTCCATTAATTTAGAATATACATGAAGTGCATATTCTGATGGTATATATAAACAATAACCTGATTCACCAGTGTGTGTAAATGACATTACCATTACATCAGAAGCATAGGCTACATTTATATTCTGTTAATTATATGAAATTAATATTTATACATATATATAAATCTACCTAATGTTAATGAAATAATTAGTAAAAACAAATGAAAATATTTACTTTATAAGTAAAGGGAGAAAGATAAATATCAGAATTAGATAATTCTGAAAGCAATCCTGCTGCTTTAGGTCCTACTAAATTAATAACAGTATATTTTGAAGTTACATCATTAAGACCTACTGAATGATCAGCTGGTAAATGTCTATAATAAACAAATAATTTATATATAATTTTATTTAAATTATATTATTAATTACATTATGATTTCTATTATTTTTTTATCTGGACATCCATTGATAAATACATATTTGTTGCGATGTAGGTGAAACCATAAAATAACTATTTTCAGCTTGTCTTACTAAAATACAATCATTTTCATATCTTCCTTTTTCATTTTGCATTCCTGTATGTACTATACTACCAACTGGTATGTTTGTATCATTAGAACATAATTGTTGAAGATATTTTACAACTTCATTATGACTAGACTACAAAAATACAATTATAATAAATAATGAAATATATTTTATAAATAATATAACATAATTTAAATATATACTTTAATTTCGATTTTTGAAAATGAACTCATATCTATTATTCCCACTCCTTCTTTACATGCTAAAAATTCTTTTTTCATAAAGTCAAAAAATTGAAGTTTATAAAAACTTCCTGGTGGCATAATTGGTTTATTTTGCCCTTCTGTTAATAAAATAATTATTTTTTTATTTGTGAATTTAAACTAAATAAATATTACTAAATGAAATATGAAAATTAATTTCTCACTTCTATAAGTTGAATTAAAATAAAGGGGACATTCATAAGCCACTTTGACACCGAAAATTGCACCTCTTTCTTCAAGAACAGAATATAATGGCGAACAACGCAATTTTCAGGCATATTTATATTCACATTGATGAGCATACAAAATTGCATAATTTCTTCCAACAATTTCTTTTGTTCTTTGTTGTAAATATTGTTTACTGCTATGTAAATTTAAAAATCGTTGTACACTAAAAGGAAGTAATTCTTGTGTAGATTCACAATTTATTAAACATTCAGCAACTTCTTTACCTATTCCTCCTGCTCCTAAGATAGTAAGAAAAAAATTTTAGTAATTGAAAGATCTAAAAAATTTAAAAAGTGTTTAAAAATTTGCTATATTTTACCTTGCAATGAATTTCCATTCATGTCAACAGCAACAAAATAATTTTTTGCTTTTGGACTTTCTCCTAATATCCATCTACCATCTGGTGTAAAATTATCTGGATAGTTATATACTTTTGGTTGTATATTTTTTAAAAATGGCAATCTATGTACTATTTTATCCCATAAAGGTTTCCAGTGTGAAATATCAATTGTAAGGTGATTTTTCCAATTTTTTATAGGTACAATACCATTCTCAAATGCAGGTTTTGATTCTGGTTCAAACCAACCAATTAATAAATCTCCTATAAATTTATAAATCTAATTATTTATTATAAATATTGTACACATTTGTACAAATTAAATAAGATATATTAATATCTTAAATACCTTGCCATTCTCTTATATATGAATATGAATCATAATTTTGTATACATGGTAGAGCTATATTAGAAGAAAAAGGAGAAGCAATTGCATAAAAATGTTCAGCAGGATATGCTGGAATTTTAACTGGTAGATTGCATTTTAATCCTAATTCTCGTGCCCACTAAATTTCAAAAATAAGAAAGAATTTGTCTAAAAAATAAGATTAAAGTTATTTTATATTTTTTATTAAAATTTGATTTTTATATTACCATTCCTGCACAATTAATAAAGTATTCATAAGATATTACTCCATATTGAGTTTTATGGTTTCATTTTCAGTATAAATTTCTTCTATATGACAATTTTCAATATATTTTGCTCCTCCAATTTTTGCTAATTTAGCTAAAACATTAACAAACTGCATTAGAATTGGCTACTGCATCTTCAGAAACTCAAATTGCTCCTTCAATATCTTCAATATGTAAATATGGATATAATTGTTTTAATTGTTCTCTTTCTAAAATCTATATATTTTTATTCATTAAAAGTTTTTAAATTCTAATTTTAAAATTATATATGTAAATTTTACAATACTTCACAATGTAAACCTGTGGGTATATTATAAGCCATTCTTCTTTTTAAAACTATCATTTTATCTTTGGTTTGAGCTAAATATATACTTCCACATTGTTTTAAACCTATATCATATCCCATTTCTTGTAATTGTTGATATAATTTAATACTATAAGAAATTAAATTTCTATGTGATATTGGTTTAAAAAGACCAAGTGTACCAGAGCCAAAATGAGAAGTTCCACTTCCAATTCTATGGCATGAAATATTTTAATTAGTAGATATTATAATAAATAATTTTTAAGTAAAATAATTAGAATATTAATAATTTTTCAAAACAAAATTATTCATATATATAATTTAATTATATAAAATATATAATATGATAAATAAAGAAATCTATAGCATTATTTTAAGATATTTATATTTATTTATTAATTACTTCATTTCATATAAATAAATTATACTTATTTTGTTCCAGAATGAGTATATCATTCCATCCATTAATAACAAGATGATAAGCAACTGAATTAGCCACAATTTCTGCACCTGCTATAATAATTTGTGATTGCGAACGTAATATTGTTGTATGAAATGGAAATTGTTGTGATGTATGAGAATCATGATTAAATTTTCTATTTTTATTTTTATCGATTTGATTAGATTTAAATGTTTCATTTTTATAGGTTATATTATTTAAATAATTTCTATAAGTTTTTAAAACTATTTTTTGCAAAGTTGTAATGTGAAAATATTTTGAACTCGCGTGTTGCAGCATTAAATAATATGAAAAATAATAACTATGATTTTTATTTACTTTTCTAAATAAATTGTAGAAATTAGAATTCTAAAATATGTTGATTATCCGGATGTTCTCTTAATATTAAAGTTTTTAATAAGAATAATGATTTTGTTAATTAATCTAAATTATCACTTAAAAATAAAAATTAAGAAATTTTATATATTTTAATATTTTATAATTATTAAGAATATTGAAGAAAATAGAAATTATTTTTCGTATTAGTTATTTTTTCATTATTTTAATATAAATAATATTTTAATATAATTGCAAGATTGATTTGTTTGAAATTATTTAATTTAAAATATTATTGAATTTAATTTTGGATAAATTTAAATATTTAATATAATTATAAATGCGCGCTAAAACTTTTTTAATCGATAAATCGAAATATTTAAATTTCGATAGATTTCGATTCTCAAATCTCTTCG